TGAGGTGACACGCCAGGTAGCCGACCTACTGAGGAAAGGTATGATTCGACCCAGCACATCCCCGTATTCTGCTCCCATTTTATTTGTGGGTAAAAAGGACGGGACTCTGCGTATGTGCATAGACTATAGGGGTTTAAATGCGACCACCGTTAAAAATCGCTATCCTATCCCACGGGTCGATGATCTACTGGATAGACTGCGTGGCTCGGCTTTCTTTAGCTCTATTGACCTACAGCAGGGGTACAATCAAATCCGTATTGCTGAATCAGATATTCCGAAAACTGCATTTCGTACGCCCTCTGGTCATTACGAGTATACTGTGCTGAGCTTCGGCTTGACGAACGCTCCTGCCACGTTCCAAGCCCTGATGGACCGAACCTTTCGGCCCTACATAGACCGTTTTGTCGTGAACGCTCCTGCCACGTTCCAAGCCCTGATGGACCGAACCTTTCGGCCCTACATAGACCGTTTTGTCGTTTGCTACCTAGACGATATCCTGGTCTATTCAAAGACACGTGAAGAGCACCTGGAGCATTTACGACTGGTCTTTGAAATTTTGCGGCGTGAGCAACTGTTTGCCAAGCGTTCTAAGTGCCACTGGGCCCAGCCTCAGGTCGAATACCTTGGTCACATCGTCTCCAAGGATGGCATCCGCATGGACCCCCGTAAGACTGCTTCTGTACGGAACTGGCCTACCCCGACCAATTTACAAGAACTAAGGAAGTTCTTGGGGCTGACGAACTACTTCCGTAAGTTCATCGAACGCTATGCCATTATTGCCGCACCTCTGACAAATCTGACACATAAAGGGGCTTTTGTATCTCCTGACTGCTGGGGTCCTGACTGCCAGCAAGCGTTCGATACACTTAAGCGTGTTGTCTCTGAAGACATCATCCTGCGTTTCCCTGACTACTCCCAACCTTTCCGTGTGGAGGTCGTAACTGATGCGTCCTTGCATGGTACGGGAGCAGTACTGCTGCAAAACGGGAGACCAATTGCTTTTACTAGTAAGAAGTTCTCGGGGGCTGAAACCCGTTATACCACTGGGGAACAAGAACTTCTTGCTGTACTGCACGCGCTTAAGGAGTGGCGGTGTTATCTGGAGGGTCG